AGGTGGTAGAGTGCCAGCTTTGAGCAAAAGTAACTCAGGTACAGAGGGGTGCTGGTGGCTCACGCCTGTAATCCTAGCTACTCAGGAGGCTGAGATCTGAGGATCATGGTTCAAAGCCAGCCGGGGCAGGAAAGTCCATATGAGACTCTTATCTCCAATTAACCACCAGAAAATCGGAAGTGACGCTGTAGCTCAAGTGGTAGAGCGCTCTCCTAGAGCTGAAGAGCTGAGGGACAACACCTAGGCTCAGAATTCAAGCCCCATGACTGACCAAAAAAAAAAAAAGTGATAGTAATTCTAGTTTTTTTTTTAATTCCATGGAGTTCTGATGATGACCTTATTAACTGGCAAAAGATGTAGCTTATCTCCAGTACATCTACAAAAGATTATTTCAGAAAGATCCTGCCAGAAAAAAATTTCATTCTACTTAAATGAAAGTTTATGTTATCAAGTAGAACTTAGGTGTTATAATTATGTTTTATGAATATATTTTTCTGTTCATGGCAGTTTTCATATGTAGAAAGAATATTACAGCTGTTAGAATCATAAATATATCTACTAGCTAGGCTATTTATCTTTTATCCACTTTTTTTTTTTTCTGCCAGTTCTGGAGCTTGAATTCAGGGCCTGGGTGCTGTCCCTGAGCTTTTTTGTTCCAGGCTAGTACTCTGTCACTTGAGCCACAGCTCCACTTCCAATTTTTTTGTTGACTACTTGGAGATAAGAGTCTAAATGGACTTTTTTTGCCCTGGATGGCTTCAAATTACTATGCTCAGACCTCAGCCTCCTGAGTAGCTAGGATTACATGAGCCACCAGTGCCTGGCTAACCACAGATTTTTAATTGGACAGATTTAAAAAATTGTGATATGTTACAGCATATCTATAATAGTTGAAATCGTGTCTAACAAAGAAATAAGACTTAAGGAGGAGGCTGCAATGCTTGGTAAGAAATGTACGCATTATCCTGCCCATGCAATTGTAACCCCTCTGTACAGTATGTTCACAAATAAAATAAAATAAAATTTAAAAAAAAAAAGACTTTTTGTCTCTTATGAAATTTCCTACTCTGGATATTTCTTATAACCAAAGTCATTCAATATGAGGCACTTTTTTGTATGGCTTTCTTCAATTAGCCTAATGTTTTCAGGGTTCATTTATGTTCATTATGTGTCAGTACTTAATTCCTTAAAATTTCCTACATTTCTACCTCTCAGAGGTTTTTTTGTTTTTTGTTTTGGGGTTTTGTTTGTTTTGTTTGGGGCTTGGAGGGTTTTGTGCTACCAGTCCTGAGGCTTGAACTCAGGGCCCTGGTACTGTTTCTGTGGGGTTTTTTTTTAACTAAGTTAGCACTCTATTACTTGAGCTACAGCCTCGCTTTTGATTTTTGGTGCTTAATTAAAGATTGGAGTCTCTACTGCATGGGCAGGTTTAAACTTTGGTCCTCAGATCTCAGCATCTTGAATAGCTAGGATTATACAGGTATGAGCCACTGACGCCCAGCAAATGTTCTTACTTTTGATCTTATTAACAAATTAATGAGAATAGATGTTAACCCCATTGACCAATAAGGAAAGTGAGTTTTAGAAAAAATACATCATTTAGTTTACTAGGATTTGATATCTAGTCTATAGAATTTAATTCCAAAGCACAGGCTTTCTCTATCATGTTATTTTTTCTATATCATTGTTTTGAGAACTGTAAAATACAAAGAAAAATAATAATTGACTTTAAGTAAATGAATAAATTGGTGAAAAGACAATATAAGGCCATTTAGGTGCAAGCAAATGTGATAAAAAGATGCTTGTTTAAAAACTATAAAAAATTATCAAAAGCTAAGAATTAATGTCTCACAAATTTGTATGCCATTCAAATAAATATGATGTGATAGCTTGTTATTTAAATTTGTGTTTTCCTAATGACTAGTCATTTTAAGCATCTTTTCATGAGCTTACTGATCATTTGCATTTTTTCTTTGGACAAATGTCTATCCAAATCTTGTGCTCATGCTTTCATTGAGTTGTCTTGTTATTAAATTCTCTAATTATTCTGAATATTAAGCTCTTGTTAAATAAGTAGTTTACAAATGTTCTCTAATTCTATAAGTCATGTTTTGTTTTGTTTTGTTTTGAGACAGAGTCTTACCATGTAAACCAGGCTGATATAAAACTGTGATTCTCCTACCTCAGTTTTCCAAGTGCAGGGCTTTTAGGCTGCTCAGTATGTTTCTACTTGCTTGTAACAGTCCATTTATCTACAAGAGTTTAATTTTTATGAAATCAAATCACCTGCTTCTTCTTTTGCATATCTTTTTAGTGTCATACGTGCAGCCATAGCCAAATTGAAGACTGAAAATCTGCCTTTTTGTTTTTTCTATGAGTTTTATAGCATTAGCTCATATGTGACCATCAGTTTTTGGGTTTTTTTTCAAGTAAGGGGTAGGTTTAATCATCGTTCCGGCTGACACCAGGCCATCTTGGTCCTCCACGTGGTGGGGAAAGGCCTGGGAAAGAGAGCTGGAAGAGCTGGGAAAGAGAGAGAGCTGGGAAAGAGAAGGGAAGGAAAGAGCTGAGAAAGAGCTAGAAAAGAGCAGAGAGAGAGTCTGGGAAAGGTGGGAAAGAGAGAGCTAGGAAAGAGAAGAGAGCTGGGAAAGAGAAGAGAAGGAAAGAGCTGAGAAAAAGCTAGAAAAGAGCAGAGAGAGCGTGACCATCAGTTTTGAACCAGTTTTTGTACATGATATGAATAGCCAACTGTCAAAATACTAGCTAAAGAATTTGCTTTTCTGTGGAATCTGCTCACTATTTTGAAAGTCAGATGGCCATAGATGTATAGATTTCTTTCAGTGTGTTTCTTGTTTTTTTGTTTGTTTGTTTGTTTTTTGTCATGGGGCTTGAACTCTGGGCTTGGGCACTGTCCTTGTGCTCTTCATCTCAAGGCGAGCACTCTATTGCTTGAACCACAGCACTACTTTCAGTTTTCTAGTGGTTTTATTGGAGATAAGAGTCTCACAGACTTTCTTGCTTCGGCTGGCTTTGAACCACGATCCTCAGATCTCAGCCTCCTGAGTAGCTAGGATTACAGGCGTGAGCCACCAGTGCCCAGCTTGTTTCTTGTGTTTTTTCAGTACATTTTTCTGTCTTTTTTTTTTTTCCCTGATCCTAGGGCTTGAACCTCTGGGCCTAGGTACTGCCCCTGAGCTGCTTTTGCTAAAGACTAGCACTCTACCACTTGAGCCACAGTGCCACTGCTGGCTTTTTTTCTGAGTAGTTTATTGGAGATAACAGTCTCACAGACTTTCCCACCTAGGCTGGCTTCAAACTGTGATTGTCAGATCTCAACCTCCTGAGTAGCTAGGATTACAGAGTGAAATACCAGCAGCACCAGCTGTATGTCTGTTTTTATGTCAGTACCACACTGTTTTGATTACTGTAGGTTTATAGTAAGGTTTAAAATTTAGAAATAAGAGTTCCCTGGCTGTGTTCTTTTTATTATTGTTTTAGCTTTTTGGGATCTCCTGCAATATTGTATGAACTCAAGATCAACTTTTTCCATTTCTCCCAAAGTAAAAGGGCTATCTAAATTTTGGTATGGGTGCCCTTACATCTGTATTCTAATTTAGGTTGTATTGCCATTCTGATATCAGTCTTCTAATCTATTAATATGGAACTTCAACTTTTTTTTTGTCAATTGAGGGGCTTGAATGTGGGCCTAGGCACTGTCCCTCAGCTCTTTAGCTCTAGGCTACCTGCCATTCTAAACTTGAGCCACAGGACCACTTCCGGTTTTCTGGTGGTTAATTGGAGAGAAGAGTCTCACTGACTTTCCTGCCCAGGCTGGCTTTGAACCATGATCCTCAGATCTCAGCCTCCTAAGTAGCAAGGATTATAGGCATGAGCCACCAGCGCCCACCTGGAATTCTTTTTATATGTTCAAGTTTACTTTAAGTTTTTAAGCAATATTTTGTAGTTTTCAGTGTATAGCTCTTTTTACTTTTTGGGTTAAAGTTACTCATAGACATTTTCTTATAATGCTGTTTTCTTAATTTCATTTTAAGATACTTTATTGCTGGTGGACATAAACATGATTGGAATTTGTATATTGATTTTACTATGTTTAATCTATTATAGCTACTTTGAAATTTATATGTTATTTTTGTTTCCTTACTTTTGTATTGTATCTGTGATCTTTGTTTTAGAATCAGAATGTAAAGCTAAATCTAGTTTTCCATTTAATAATCTCCTTGTTTTCATATTTATTCCCTTTAAAATTATTAATGAGGTTTATGTCAATTATGTTCAAAGTCTTCCACTGATTTATACATCAAAATAAAAGCTTAATTCTTTAAGAAGTACCATATAGCTACTGACAAACTCTCCCACTTTATCTCCTTGAAATTCTAATCATAATGACATTGGCCTTGTTAACTAGGGCCCTTTGTACTTTGTCCACCTGAGGTCCTCTGACTATTCCAGTGGCTTTGTTTCTATTTCCTTGAGATCTTAGCAAATGTGTCTCCTGAGAGTTTTTCCTGATCAGGTGACCTGACTATGCTTAATACTCATAATTGGCTAAATATTAGTTTAGGCATTCGATATATGTTCTTTTTATTCTTTTTTAAAAAAAGGAAGGGAGGGAAAGAAGAATAGAGCCATTCTGTGAATTAGATATTATTATGTCTAGTTTAATAGTAAAAAAACAACCAAAGAGATTGTATTATATCAGAAATCCTCAGCTGACATAACTGATCTTTTGATTCTAAGCCATTTCAGCATTCTTCACAATAATCTAAGAAATTAATGAAGCAGTGGAATAACATGCTAAAAGCCAAGTTTGAGGAAAATTGCTCTGCAGAGTAAATGCAAAAAGAATCTGGAGGCAAGTCGAAATTATATAGGTATAGGTTTTATTTATGAAAAATTCCATGTCAGGGCTAGGTCTTAGAAAATGAAAAAGTAAAAGTGACATCATGGGTTTTACAACTGACCAATAAATTTTCTTTCAGCTGTGTTTAAACTTGAAACAGATACAGGTATATGGCCCTTGATAAGAATCTATCGTGGTGGCTTTCTTCTGATTGAATTCCTTTTTCTACTTGGCATCAATACATATGGTTGGAGACAGGCTGGAGTAAATCATGTGCTCATCTTTGAACTTAATCCAAGAAGCAATTTGTCTCATCAACATCTTTTTGAGGTAATCAAAGCAAGATATAAAATCCTATGACTATTGTTTGCCTTAGTTGTATAGTAGGTTTAATAGGTACTGAAATCCATCTATTAGAATTATTGGCTTATTACTAATCATTTTACTTATCTTCATTTATTAAAGATACTTCTGAGTAGTAATACAAATAAAACTAATTTTCTTTTTTTCTTTACTTCCCTATTTTTTACCAGATTGCTGGATTCCTGGGGATACTGTGGTGCCTGAGCCTTTTGGCATGCTTCTTTGCTCCAATTAGTGTCATCCCCACATATGTCTATCCACTTGCCCTTTATGGATTTATGATCTTCTTTCTTATCAACCCCACCAAAACTTTTTATTATAAGTCTCGGTTTTGGCTCCTTAAGCTGCTGGTAAGTTCAGAAACTTCTGTGTAGCATTTAAAAAATAGTATAAAACCAAAGCTACTGGGTTGTAGGATTTGAGAAGGTTACTATTTACATCTATGCACATGGTACCCCAGCTTTGGTGGCAAAAACTGCAGTGACTGAACTCAGCCAATTTTCTTTTTTTAGTTGTTGGTTGTGGGGCCTGAACTCAGGGCCTGGGCTAGCGCTCTACCACTTGAGCCACAGCGCCCACTTCCTGCTTTTACTGTTTATGTGGTGCTGAGGAATTGAACCCAGGGCCTCATGCATGCATGGCAAGCACTCTACCACTGAGTCACCTTCCCAGCCCAATAACCTACTTTTTTTTTTTTATTGTAAAGATCCTATACAGAGGGTTACAGTTACATGAGTGAGGTAATGAGTACACTTCCTCTTGAACATTGTTACCCCCTCCATTGTTTTCCCCCTACCATCGCCTCCCTCCCTCCCTTCCCCAAGGTTCTTTTTTTTTTTTTTTTGATTGTGATTAAGTGATTACATAATTTCCAGAAATTCACAGTCCAATAAACTACTTTTAAACACTGATATTTATCGGTTACACTTGTTGGTCACTTTATTTTAAATATTTAACTTTGATCTAATAGATCAAATTAGTAGAATATAAAAGTCAGTTTTGGAAAACATACATTTATTCACAAGTCTAGAAAGTAGAAATTTAAAGGTCATCTTTGCCATTTATTCACTTACCTTTATTGATTAACATTCCACTATACCCATTCCCCCTCCTTCACTACCAAAAACATACACTATCCAGAGCTTATGGTTGCAAATAGGATAGCTTATCTTTTTGGCTTGTTGGACCCACAGAAGGAGTATGAGAGTTATAAATGGACTGAAGCATAGAGCCAAATTATATTGCCACAGAAAACAATGTCTCAACCTTCATTGTGTCCCGCAGACACCTGATACCACTTTCTGAGATCCAATACACATAACTTTCATAGATGACACCCAGAAAAATATTTAGAGAAAGAATAGAAAGAACAAACTAAGTCTAAAAGGAGAGTTTTCATAGACTCTTAGATTGAATTTGTCTATTGAGTATACCCACTTAGCCAAAAGTCTACTCCTTAGACAAAATTCTTTCAGTGCATTTCTCCTGTATAATAAGATGGAGTCTGATATAATGAAAATAAAAGCTGCCTTCATTCCATCTTCACACAGGTTTATCAATGCAATCTTCACAGTTTAAACACATTTCTGGTGATAGCATTACTCTCTAATCTTAGTTTCTCTGCAGTGTCAGGATTTCTGTTTATAGTGGTAATAGATTTCCACTAAAGAGCTAGGGATAAGTTTATTTATAATGGAAATATGCATAGTACCTACCTTTAGAATACTAAAAATTGAGTTAAAGCATACATAAACCCTAAGAAAAATACACTGCATCAAAGAGTGGTCATTACATTTAACTTTAATACATTTATTGTTGTTTTCAGAACAGTGGGAAGAATGATTTTTTTTGCGGGGGGACAGTTGTGGGGCTTGAACCCTGGGTCTGTCGCTGTCCCTCAGCTCTTCAACTCAAGGCTAGCACTCTACCACTTGAGCCACTGTGCCACTTCTGGCTTTTTCTGCTTATATGGTGCTGAGGAATTGAACCCAGGGCCTTATGCATGGAAAGCAAGCACTCTACCACTGAGCCACCTTCCCAGCCCCAGAAGAATGATTTTTATGGTGAAATTATTATCATGAAATTAGTGCAACAGAAGCCAGTTTTATTTGACTATAATATGTGGGATGATGTATCGTCCTTCCTTAGCTTTTCTTTGCAAGCAATGAAGAGCTTTGTGTTTAGTTAGCTACAATAGGAAGATATTCTAGTACTTTACACTCTAAATTAGACTTCCTTTCAGTGGTTCTATCCTCAGCACTCTTTCTTTTGCTTTATTTTGTTCTTGGCTTTAAGTCTGCTCACCTCTATTTTTTTAAGTGTAGTTATTCCTGTCCTTTATTTCCTTACTTAGTTATACTTATACCCAGCTACTGTTGCTTGGTCCTTGTGTTTGTTGTTAATTGGTGTGCATTAGTTTTGTTTTACTAGCTAAAGTAATCATGCTGAATGATCAAACACAAAATAGATTTTTTTTTCTTTCAGTTTCGAGTATTTACAGCCCCCTTCCATAAAGTAGGCTTTGCTGATTTCTGGCTAGCTGATCAGCTGAACAGCCTGTCAGTGATACTAATGGACCTGGAATATATGATCTGCTTCTACAGTTTTGAGCTCAAATGGGATGAAAATACTGGTCTGTTGCCAAATGCAGGTAGGGTATGAATTTTCATTCATACTACTAAATTGCCAGCATAAACCAAGAAATATTGAGAATGGTAACTGGGAAAGTTAAGGTCATGGTGAAAATTCATCAAATAAAATTACAAACTTGGTCTGGGAAGATGGCTCAGTGGTAGAGCGCTTGCCTTGCACGCATGAGGCCCTGGGTTCCATTCCTCAGCACCACATAAGCAAAAAGAAAAAAGCCGGAAGTGGCGCTGTGGCTCAAGTGGTAGAGTGCTAGCCTTG